TTTCGTGATTTAAAATACTTGTATACATGTACTATGTGTTTTCTAGATTGGCTTTCACGTTCTCCTAAAAATTAGTCAAGTGAGGTATCATTTTCAGCCATCAGACACAACATTAATAAAATGAATATAATGCACATTTATAATTGTAAGGCTTAACTGCTTCAGAGTCTGGTAATCTCCAGTTCATACCGATATTCAAGCGTCTTTAAAAGAAAAAAAAATTATGAATGTTGAAGGATATTAAGGGATGCAATACATTGCAATACAGTTTCTCGGACGCTCCTCAGATTTTTAATTCTATATCCGAAAGAAGCATATTACATTTCTTATTAGGTATTTTCATAGCGAGGAAAATATCAAGTATCCTTGCCAACGAAAGTGCTGATTCAGCTGATTTTATTTAAAAATATATAATCTCTTAACGATGACGTCACTTGATCCCCCGCTGTAACTTTATAGTAATGACTTGTTTGTAATGGTGTCCTAGGTAGGTTGATGACTTCATTATAAAACCATTAATCCGTCATCAATTACCACTTTTTAAAAATTCATACCCCTCTACATCGGTACAATAAATCGATATTAGTAATGAACGCAATTTCATTTTTAATCTCGTTTTCTCGTTAAAATCACATATTCATCGAAAGTCAGGATTGCAAGCCAGTATATTTACACGTAAAGGTTGAATTGTGCATTGTGCAATGGAGCAAAAGTCACTTTTCGCATACGTTACCTGTGCTTGGGTTTAAATCAATAGATCCTTATATTTTAAGTTGTATGTATCGCCGTGTTTCGATTATCCTACTTATCTGTAACCTGTACAGTGTCAGTAGGAAATTCCCTTTTTGTTTGTTCAGTAGACCATCCAGCTAATGACGAAATAAAAAACAAAAGGTGAAAGGAAGGAAGAAAATATCTCAGGATATTTCTATAATGTAGTCCAAATCGTCCAAAGTTTCTACTCAATTCCAGGTTTTTGAATTGGTTTTATTTGAACTTGAATACACAACACACTCTAAGAGCCGTAGAGAACAAAAAATAACCAATATTGGATTATCTTTGTAAATACGGTAAATTAGACACGATCTATAGGTCTTATAAAATCAATCACGATATATGAATAAGAACGGTGTATGTTATTCTGACGGTTTAAAGGTGTGCCAACTTGTATAGATATGCTCTATGTATACCAAGAAATTTTGTAATTAATCATGCGATTCACGTGCAGAAGTTGTGAACTAAAATATTTTATTCTTCTGCTACAAACAAATATACTGTATTTAAACACCGCCTTCACGATAAACGTTTGGGAAATTAAAATGATACTTAAATATTTCAAAACCCGAGAACCATCCATTATAAACGTGTTTTTTAAAGTAATTGGGTATATATCCCGATGTTCGTATACAGGAATTGTACACTGGACATGAAAACGACAGGAAGGTATACATGTAAAGCAACTGTTTGAAAGGAGAGAAGATTAATTCAAATGGTAAATAAATCGGTTGATACAAGGACATCTACAAGTAAACCAAACGTCAGACATTTTACATATATCATATACACTACAAATTTCCCCTTGTTTATTGTTAAACAAACTACATGTACATACCATTGAGATTTATTATCTACATCATCACAAAATATAACGAAAAATACTATGCTAAATCTTCATATGCGTTGGTTTTCAAAATTATCTATTTTAGAAAATCAAGATAAAATCTGACTGAATGAATTATATATATATATATATATATTGACGAACTTGCTCTAATCGTGTGTGGTTCGTAGTGAACTGACGGGCTTTGTACCAATCGTTTGTGTTTGGAATACACTAGTCCACGGGAGGGCTAAAAGTTATTAAGTTAATGGTCATTCCATTCACACAGAACTATGATCCAGGAGTATAGTTTATAGATTTCTGTCTTTAAAGTACTTTTACTGTGATTGACCGTTCCAGTATAAATATTCCATTAAGGCGGTCATACAAATCAATACCACGTGACAACAATGTCAAGTCACACCAGCAAAGGCGGGTACATTATAGAAACAATTCTCAAAATATATTGTTCTGCTTATACAAATACAATCTGGATGTTGTTTCTGTGATGTGTTTAGAAAAGATATTGGGTATTTAAATCGGTCAGAACATTCACCATAATTATCTCCCCTGCCCATGTACACAGGCCATTGAATACAGTGGAACATTGCCAAGGTATAACTGAATGTGTATGATATATTTCAACCATGTTGCTGTGAAGCATCATTGGGACGAGATGATCCATTATAAGACGGCATTTTGATTACCAAACGAGTTTGAAATCGTCCAGAAACTGATAATATATCGTTGTTTACAAACGTATAGTGCTTACTTATACAATAACCTGCACCCGATTACCATTGTGGACACTTTCATTTCTGGAGAAACCCTATAATTGTTTTCTTCTTGATTTGGTTGTGTGTGTGTGTGGTTTTTTTTTTTTAGTGGTCTTAAAGGCTTCGCGACAGCCATGGCCATAATTATGACGATGGGTGTAACTAGATAGGAACGCAAAAAGTAATAAATAAAGTACAGATATAGTGTGATAGAGAAATGAAATTAGCAATTAGATAAGAAAAATTATTATCGTAACGTCTTATTAGTAGAATACACGGATTAAAGCACCCGATTCTTGAGGGGCGGGGTGGTGGTGGCTTGGTGGGGCTGGGATTGGGGTCACTCATAATTGTCTCCGGACCGATATTCAGTAGAATGCAGTAGATCCTATACTTGAGCTCTCCGATGTCGCCAAACAAAAGCCATCGCAGAGACCTTTTTTTCGGTCTGCAAAAGATAACGTGCTAATGTAGCTGACCATACGATAGAATGTCCCGGGCTAGTTATTATATCCCATATGAAAGAAATATATCCATACTTCCGGTGAGGGTATCATTAATAAAACCCTATGTTAGGATAAGCCGGAAATCTCTATCTGCAGATGTGGTTATTAGCTGTCTTAGCGAGTCTTTCTGTTTGTACGTGATAAGCATGCGGAAACTTTGAAATTCTGATATACTGAAAGCATGATCAATATCGTGATATTTCGGAAAATTATCGAGGAGATCTTACCTGTGAAATAGACTTTTAAATACGAAACAGTCGAGCCAAATAATAAACTCAATTGCATTTGTCAACGCTTTCGTCCTTTTAGGATTCGTTTGTGACGCAAAGGCCTGAATTTTGAATTCGAGAAGGCGAAGCAAAAATCAAAACTGATTGAAAGAAAGGTCAAAATCTTGATAGCAAGGTGCACTAGCCCATGGTTCAATAGGTTTTTCAATTTTCATATATTTTATAACTTCATACCAAATCAAATGTATATTCTGAACGAATTAAAACTTGGCAGGCAAACAACTTCAGGTCTAATAATACAAACTGGGAATATACGATAAACAAAACAAATTTGGAATTTATCTGAAAGTTGGGGTATAGCGATCACTAACAGGTGTAATATAGAAAGAATCACAATCATGTAACGAGATTTGGACAAAACTTAGCGGTTTGTATAAAAATGTTTTTATTTCTACTGTGATATATGAATCACTATTTTAGAACATTATATTTTTCGTCTTTTACCCGATCAATAAATAATTTGATATGAATTACAGTCATAACATGCATGCAATTTAATGTAATTATAATTATAAGGATAGTGTAGAATGTCTAAATCCAATCCTTTTTATTTTTCTTTAGTTTAAACATATGTTATTGCTTCTAAAACAAGCAAGGAGATTTGGCTAAGGTTATGACTACTTGGAAAGTCCTCTCATTCACAATTAAATTCAACAAAGGAACAGCAACAACAGACATTATTGTGCATTCCAAACAGTGAAACGAATTTTGAAATCAGAAGAGTGAAGGAAGAAACAAGCTGAAAGTGCAGGGAAATGGCAAGAATGTCACATGACAATTTTCATCATGTACAACAAATATATTGCATAGTAATATATAACATATCTGCCTGGTTCATACTAGCTACACATTCCATCCACTTCCTCTAATGAAATTATCCATGTAAATGTTCATGCATAATAACCTTTTGAGTGGTCGTGTTGCGCAACGGTAACGTACTCGCCTTCATCAAGTCGTCCAGGGTTCGAGTCCCGGCAGGGACATGAAAAGGTATGGGGTCACCTGTCCGACCACGTGGGTTTCCCCACCTGGGTACTCCGGTTTCCTCACACTAACAGATCTTTCGTGTGCTTCCATCCGGGCCAACAAGAGTGATTGATATAAGTTCGAATCTTGTTTCGCAATTGTTGTAACATAAATAGAATTTGAATAACCTTGTACCAGCCAGAAAACTTAATATCCCTTATGACACGATTTTCAAGAAAGGGTCGTGAAATGATTGGATTTATTTTCATTCCATACACATAGTACAGATTAGGGGGTCACACATTTTCAATAAGATTATAATGTAGAATGAACGGTTAACTTAAACTTTTATTCTGACGGAAATAATCTATTTTATGGTGGCTTCTCAAACAAAATGATCAGACAATCGGACAAAAAAGTACCAAAAAATTATGTATTTGGTTGTTCAGTAGTCTGCAAAATTTTGTACTTTTCAAGCAGAGACGTACAGTATGAAGTTTTCGCCATTTTAGCTTTGATAATTTTTTTAAAATTTCGTCTGAATATATGTAGTACATATGTACCTGTGTTTAAAATACGTTTTGATGAGATAGGTTGTCTATTATACACTTTAAATATCATTTTCAAATTTATTGTACATATACAAACGTTTTAGATTAACATCGTCATTATTATATAAGGGGCTTGAATAGATATACATGGTATAGTACTCGGCCTACTTTTTATTCAAGACATTTACAATAGAGTTACGTCCCTTTTTGGATGCATTGAACCACGATGAAAATTACACCAATGGCAGAGCTCGTAGTGACGATAGCCAGGTGATACTAGACTAGGTACGTTGTACATGGAACATGGCGACATGGCTCCTGTTGAAGAAAAACCAAAGAAATCAATTCTGGATATCATTCTAGGAGTCATCCAGGTAAATTCGATTGTTGGTGATGAAATTATGGCATGGTAGTCCTGTTAAAGTTTGTCAATGGTTCGATAAGTACGGTGTGGAGTTCTGTTTACGTGCAGTTGTTTCAGTTGTCATAGAGTCCCAACCAGAGTAGTGATCAGGTAAGATAGTTATATATTACGAGATTACAATGATATGTTGACAACAAGACCATCATATTTGGTATTTCTACATACATGTGAGTTCTATAAAACTGTTGACTCACCATAATGTTTTATCGCTAGCCTTCATGTTTGTTTGTTCTCCGGCACGACTTCGTTCTATTTATAGACCACTATACAGTACAATAGTCTGAAGAAGGCATTGTTTTTTTTCAAAGTGTCAGATATTAAAGTCCTTCATGATTATAAAATCAAAATATGTATTTACATCTGGTGAAGACTTGTATGTTAAATAACGTTTAAAATGTGTTTTATTTCCACCAGGCCCAAATGTTTATTCAAATATTTGAAAAAAATAAGAGATTGAGAGCTCCATGTACATGAGCATAAGTATCTTATGGAATATGAATAAGGTATAAAAACTATTAAAGTGTTTTTTTTACATGAAATGAAAGGTGGCTGCTGTTCTTTTAAAAACATGTTAGACTTATAAAGGTGTTTGTAATGTATGTATTACACAACATATTTGTGTTTACATTTTTGTGCTGATTATAAAAGCACAAGATAATAATCATTTTTGACTGAAACTGACACAAAATATTAGTTATACATATATCACTTTGATTCAGAACCAACTGGAAGTCATTTTTACTGAAAACTGAATGTATATACTGTAAGTAATTAATACGTAATTTGATCACAGAGAAATATGCCATATAGATAAAAAAAGTAAATTCTTTGTAACAGTAAGGATGCTTTGTTGATTTGCCATACATAAAATTGTTTTGATTTAAAAAGTTTCTGATAATGATAACTACTGTATGAAAATGATCTGGTAATTTGACTCTCATAAAAAGGATTTAACCATTAGAATGAATTTTATCTTAAATGCTTGTTGAAATAAAAAAAAAATGACCAGTATTAATAAATATACCTCGTTTACTCTTTGTAAATTGACAGTATTGCTATGTTTTAATCCTATGTTTTATTCTGGGACCTAAAACAATCCTGCAGAAATAAAACATTTCTGCACTTGGGTGTTTCTGCCGAGCTAATGAGACTATTGGCATGTTTTCAATGCTAGCTTCGGAGTGAAAAATTCTCCTTGAACACTCATAGTTGTGATTTCTAAATTGTCTTTTGTTTGTTTGCCGAAATAATTGATACTTGTCAGCTTCTAAAAGTGCCATATGTACTGATTTAGAATGAAAAATAATACAAACCATGTTTCCTTTATGCCAACTGATGAAACACCGATAATATAATCAAATGTTTCTCCTGCTATTGACAAACAATTGCATCTAGTCCTGGTCATAACCTGTATTCCAGACAAATGGAGCTTTACCATTATTTGTTACACATCATCTTTGATAAGTAACAATAGTAAATAAATATTAGTTTTGGAGCCAGAATAGTATGTATGTCAACAAAAATGACTATTTGGTTGCATTGTGTAATTTATGAAATTTTCACTTCAGAATGACAGATTGTGTTTCTGAATATTTGTAAAAAAATGATTATCAGGTATTTTATGAAGTTTGATAATCCATTTAAGTCAGGAATTAAAACTATCTGATATGTCAAAAAGTAGACTGGTCATTTGATAGTTTTTATCAATATATCTATTCAGGATTTTATATTGTGTAGCTGTAATATAATGATGTACTCAAGAATACTCCAAATATTTTCTTGTTCTCTGTAGTTGAGAAGTCATTGAATAATTGAAGTATTTTGAGCACCATCTTAACCAGTGTCTAATTAATGTTATTGTGTGGCCCAGTAATGTGTATTGTAATGGTGGTTTGGTTAGTGTTCGGATGACAGGTTTAAATACAGATATAATGGTGGATCATTGTGACAAGTGATTCAAAGTCAACAGTATTTAAGACATTAGAAATGGCATCTTGCCAGTTTGAATTGTTGTATATTTAAGCAGGTAAGTCAGAACGATTTTTGTATTTGCTGATATGAAGTTTAAATAAGCTACTGCTAGTAAATAGTTTAACATAATACAGTAAAATATTTTCCCAGAAAAATTCTAAATCAATAAAATCTGGGTTGCAAAATTTCCTGGATCATTACGCATGGTATATGTAAAATTAACTTCCTGTTTAAAATGAAATCTGCTGTGTAGTAAGGCTGTATTGGTACATATATACTGAGGGTAGTCTAGTCTGCAGACACTGCATGTAATCTCTCAAATCAACATAAATTAGAATACTAAACAAGCAGGTAGTTCTGATCTTTAAGGCCATTGTTTAAAACTTTTAAGTTATTCCATGATACTGCTTACATTCTTTGAAAAAAATATTAGATTAAATCAATATAATACAGGATTTAAATGTACACTTAGAAAAATTTAAACTTATTTGGTTTATCAGGTCTTGGCAACCTGTCAGTCAGTTAGCAATGTAGTGTGAAAAAGTACATTGTGAAGTATGAATTAAAATTGATGACTATTTATAAAATAGTATGTGATTCTAACATTCTTAACATAAGATTATCGGCATTTTCAGTGATATTTACCCTTTTTAAAATATTTTTCTCCTTTTTGGAAAAAAAAATTTGAATGTTCTGCATTAGTTCTGAAGCCTCTTAAGAACCTTAACATTTTGGTGAGTAAGTTACCTGTTGGGATGATCACTATTCTTTGGTCTAGATCTTACATAAATTATATTTTGTACTTGCAAGATCAATGAGAAATTCTCCAGGAAAAATGGTGGCAGATCTATCCTGGAAGGTGTTTGAAATTTCCATACAGAGAAACTGTGCAATGTATAAAATTGAAATTCATATGTTGTTGATTTGCATTTTAGAATGTAATAGAGTTTTATAAGTTTAATAAATTAGGAAACAGAATTTTTATTTATTAGGATTTATTAGGGTAAATTATGGACGCAGGCTTTTTAAAAAAAAAATCTCTCTATTCATATCAAATATAAATATCTGGAATAAGAACAAGGCTTAAGCTGCCTAAAAATCAATTCATTCAGTTACCTATTGTATATTCTAACTATGTATATCTTGGATTGTCAACAATATGACCTGTAGTGTCAACAACAGAATTGTTAAGTTGTTCTGTTTGGTATTGCAGTGTAAAACACATTGATTGGTAACTTCACCCAGGTATTTACTGCCAGTGTACTTTCTAGGTCAATGACGGGGCTGGTTGCTGTTACAATATTTATTTTGTTTTTAATTATATATAATCAGTCTTGCTAGCTTGTGTGTTATCAACTACCGTGATGTGCTGAAATGGCTGCCAACTTATATAGACATCGGTGTTGTGGTTGTGCTCCTCTTTAATCATTTTCAAGTTCAAGTATTTTGAACTTGAACTGTGATGTCTGCTCCTGTATCTCATATTCCCTGAAATTCACCTCTTTTCCGTCCATGGTCTGTGAAAAATATGTCCGCATTGACCAATGGAAGATATACTGTGACCTGCCATTCACATAATGTAGTTTATAATTAGCAATGCATCAAAGCATATAATGTATCACGATGGAGCCTGTTGACATTCCAGCATGGCTGTGACACTTTTTACGATGATTGACTGCAGCTGAGATCAATAAAGACAGGAACTTTCAGCTTCACTACTACTTACAAATAATGCATTAGAGTTTGTCGGAGAACAATGCCAGAGATCTATAATCAATATAACAATCATTATTGTGTATGGTTGGTTGATCTTCACATCCTAGTCAAGGATTATTATCTACAAGTGGGACGTACATAGTGCACAGAGATATTTCCTATGTATAAAAGGCTTGGTCTTCAGTATTGTGATTCAAAGTGTTAAAAAGTGATTTTTTCAAGCATTTTGACAGCTGATACCTACCAAGGATACCTGTACGTATAGAGCACATATTGCAGTTCAAGCCTGTTCAATTTAGTGATTGACAAGCAAAGTGGAAGATACCTTTTATAAAAGAGTTTCGCTGTTGAAAGTGTATGCACATGTATACAAATATTCATTTTGCTGTAGTGTTGTTTAGCCTCTGTTCATCCATCAAATATCATAGGCGAAATCAAGGCTGACAGGGTGATTGGTCTTGTAATAAATGCTGTTGTCTAGTTGTGAATTAATTTGTATGTATGTAGATGATGTTCTAAATTATGTATTTCTTTATCAAATAAGATCAAGTACAAGATTTTGAATCAATCAAATACTGAAAAAAATTCAGGAAATATTAGATGATTTTTCCATGACTTAAACAAGTAATCAGATGACCAGTATCAGGTTGACATGGTAAAATCAAGTGAGTAGACAACAAGTGAGTTGATGAATACCATTATATATTGGGCAAGTTTTGATGAAAAGGGAGGTAACTCATTCTACAGTTATGCGTCAAGTAAGGGATGATTTTAAGGCAGGATCACTTTGTAGTACCTAATGACTACTTCCCTGAACAACATACATGAGGCCAGTGCATGTCATCCCGAGCAAATGGGGTAAATTGTTGTGTTCAAGGACACAACTGCATATGTACTGACTGGCCCATTTCTCAGTCTCTTAATGAGAAACACAAACGACCTCTGGTAGAGAGAGTCAAATGTTAGAGCAAAAAACAGAGGAAAGAAGGGAAAAGAAGGAAAAAAATCTAACTTTTAAAGAACAAATAAAGATCAAACAATAGAAAGATGTATTGTTGATGGTGATTTTGAAAATTTCCTGCTGTGTTGTATTTTCTTCTTTACATGGGCATTAAATAATGTTCACAAACTGGCTATTGTTGGTTATAAATGTTGAGTAAAGCATCATATTACTTTAAAATCTTATTTTACCTCATGCCATGATAACCTCTGTTTAAGTATTAGATACATGTTTATGTATAATGTGTTTCCTTGTCGATGGTTATTAAGTAACTAGAATAACTCAATTGATTTTCCGTTAAATATTTCCTTTATACATATTCCGGTAGTATACAGAGTATCCTGTATCCTCCGAAAAATAATGAAAAAAATTTAATGCGTTTGAGATCATGTGTATCGATTTCAACACAGCTGTGTTCTATTTATTGGAGAATTAAAAATCATTTAATGCAACATGCTGTTTATTTCATATCTAGATAAGTATAGATTATTTTATATCTAGGTAAGTATAGATTGTTTTATATCTAGATAAGTATAGATTGTTGTATATCTAGATAAGTATAGATTGTTGTATATCTAGATAAGTATAGATTGTTGTATATTGACCAGGAAGTATATTGTGTGATATTAACTTACATACTGCATTCAAAATGGAGTAACCTGCCTTGACAACTCCAATTGTGATATCAGATTTAGCTATTTTAGACCTACATAATAATAATGGATACAATTTACCATATTTGCTGATCAGCTAATGTTTCTTGAATATGTAGTCAATGTTTTTTCAACCTTAAAAGTTATCCAAGTGTCAACATTATGGGATATCTTGTTTGTTCATGTGCTTTCAACAGCAACGTACCTTTAAAATACTACTGTACAGTGTGTTTTACAGAATTGCTGCTGTTTGGAATTTTGATTTGAATGCTTATCGATGAATAAACATGAAAAAAGAATAATTCTTTTAAAATTATAAAAAAAAACTTTATAAAATCTGGTGTGAGATAAATCTTTGTTGTGATGGTTGATCATTTGACATGAAATTCTGTTTAACATCATTCACTTCATATCTTACAAAATTTTACTTACTTCCACAAAATTACATTTATGATGAATTCTGACAATATTATACCTGAATGTTAGATTTCTGTTCGATAAGAATTTAAATAACCCAGTTTAGAATTCTTTATTGTACATCAGCTGGTGTTCAAGTACAAGTAAACATAAATCTCGTGCCAATAATATTTGGCACGTAGTAGACTAAATCAATTCTTCTCCAGTGTAACAAAATACACCCATTGTTAGACTTATCCTGTACAGGTATTAGGGAACACATTACACTCTCCTATGTATACATGTTTACCTGATACAAGTGTTATAAGATAGATGTCAAACTGTCGTAGTTTTTGCAATGGCTTTTGTTACGAAATGGCTTGTAACCATCCTAACTAGTAAAGTTGAACAGTAAAGTGAGTCTGTACTACGCATTAAAACTAATATTACATGTGAAATGAAATTTTTTCAGCTGTATATATAATGCAGATAGAATTTGACGGGTATAAAGTGAAGAGTAATTTTAATGCATTTGATAGCTTATCATTTTGAGAAATTCCTTAAAAAAATATCAAGCAATCACTATTTTAGTGAGATGGACCTAAAACCTAAGACCTAAAAAATCCATCTAATTTCCATGTAAGATGCAATTGTAATCTAGATTAGAGATTTAGCAAAGTAATACAGCTGTTTCTGTATCTACCATTTACATAAACTGGTGATGAGCTCTATGTATTGGAAACATTTCCAGAATCTGTTTGACACTATCATTTTTCATTTGTGTTTACATATGAAACAAGTTAGTTAGAATTATAATTTGTCATCGTAAAAGGAAACGAAATAAATTTATTTTGTTGAGTCAGCCTAAACAAACAGAAAAAAAAGTGGAATTTCCAGTCGTATTGCAATGCTGATGTTTGCACAAATTATTGTGGTTATTGATAAATATAGGGTCATCACATCAGCCTTAAGGTAATAGTGTCACAACATGTTTAACATGCCATTCTTTTGTTTGCAGATGCCTAGGATGCGTTCCAGTTCTGGACACTGCTGCCTGTGTGTTGTGGGAGTGTTCATGTTTCTGGCAGGTATTATTATGGTATCTATAGGTGTGTGTCTCATCTTGAATTACGGATTATTTGATTCTGCACTGCTGCCACCAGAACTTCAAAATGATGAAGGTAAAAAGATCATCGGCATTGTGTTGTTGGTTTCGGGATTACTTGCTGCTATTATCAGTATATCAGTGAGTTCTTTTTACTTGTGTACGCAAAATAAGACACCTGCAGTAGAACCCCAGCAGCTTTCTGCCTTGCCTAATAGTTCACGCTCTAACTCCAAAGGATCTCATTTCCCTCGCAATGGTGTTATGGAGAAAAGTCGAGCACCAGGAGCAGAAACTAATAAGGTTTCTTCCATGCATTCAAACCCTATGCCTGTAAATCATCGCATGAGGAAAAAAATGAAGCGCAACAAATTGGGATTAAAAAATAAAACTCGTCTAGAAGGTATTCAGGAAGATAGTCTGTCGCGGAAGCATTCTGAGCATGACATGTCAGCTATGGCAGAATTGGCTGCAGAGGACACTCCCCGCAGTGAAAAAAGTGAGGAAGTGGCTGATGGAGCATGTGTCGGTGTTGACAATCCTGTCTTCTGTATAGACAGGGCGGAAGACTTTGCAGGTGCTGTCAAAGTTGAAGAGTCTGATGTGACTCAAGACAATTCCTCATCGGAGAGTGGGTACACAGACTCCGTCAATACAGGGTCAATTGACAAAGACGATTTTGAGGATCAAGTGAAAATGTTAACTCAGTGAGTGTCTGCACAGGTTATTGAATACCAATCATACTGCTGAAGGATGCAAAGATAAGTCTCTTGTAAATGAGTGTTCATCTATGAGCAATCAATGCTGCTGAGGATGTTGTTCGTTGTAGTTCAAATTATATATGTCCTACCTTATACTATTTAAATACAGTTATTGTCTTCTCAGGGTTGATAAAAGGATTTGTTGCCCTTTCAAAGGTCAACAAATCCTCCTATCAAACTACAGGGCATTTAAGATGTCCGTATTAAAGTTAAAATTACCGTAAGTTTATCCTTTGTCTAGATTATCAGTTTGAGATGATAACCTTGCATCTTGGAAATTTCTGTTTGCTATTTTTGGTGTAGCTTATCAAAATGATAACCTCTTGTTCAGAAATTTTCCAGTTCTGGTTTCAAGTTGCATTTTATCTAAACTTGTGGGCGTCCCCTAGCCAATCACAGAAGAGGGATTTTCTCAGTCATTTGATAAAAGAAATGGTTTGGTTTTTAATTTTTTTGATGCGTAAACCTACATAGATGAACACAATTCAGGCGTATGATAACTGCTGATATACATTGACGAGACATCAAGCATTTTGTTCATGCTGAAGTAAATACTTGTTAACGTAAAATGATGTCAATTTCTATCAAAAATCTTCATCATATTGTCTTGAGAATAAAGAAGTGAAATTTCACTTCTTTGTGATGCACAAAACCATGACATCAAAAACTAAGATATTAACCACATAATTCTTGAAGAAAAACCATCAACATTTCACTTTTACATCAAACCATATTTCTCATGAACATGCAAATTTAACAATGCAATAAATGTTTCCAAAGCAGAAAGAATGGCAAACACAATCAGTCATTTCATTTTTCCGTTTATCACATTAATGCGTAACTTGTGTGTTTGAATTCTGGTGGTACATGTATCTTTATTATCGTCTGTTAAATAGCAAACCTAAATGTGGAATATACTAAAGAATTGTAGTGTAAGTGATAGTGAAGTTTTAGATTATCGGACGCAATTCTGTGATAAAGTCAGTGCATGGGGTCAAATATATCGCACTAAAGTGTACATGGTGTAGCACTTTAAGATTTCAGTAGGTGATGATTTTTTTTTATATATTAATTCATACGAGTATAACTTATTATTATAAAATCGTAGAAATCTAGCTAAGGCTTAATATAAGAATCATGATTTTTAATTGTGTTGAAATTTTCGAGGTCATATGTAAAAGTTGTAAGATTTATTTTCTTATTGTAGAGAGCCCAGAACTGGTCTACTCAGGCTGTATATGCAAGCCTAGTCCTTCACCATTTTAGGTGTATTCAGGCAATTTAATTTCTTTACTTTTAAATATATTTTTTCTCCATTGTCAATACAGGAACAATGATATAGGCACTGAGCATGCTAGTACAATGTATTTTAAAATTATTGCTGGTTATGTTGACATTTCAAATATTATGACTGTTAAGCAGTGTTAAGAAATGTCAGGCATTACATGGTGGAACAGAAAATGTTTTGAAATCGGGACATTTTTTTTATTTTGTTTTGACCCTCCTAGGTCAGTATCATTATTTCTTAAGAACACCACAATAATGAAGCTATACCACAAACACATTGAATTAAGTGGGCAAGCAACTTGACTTAAGAAATGCCATATACTAATTAGAGCACATTGGCCTTGGGCTCTCTACTTTAAGGAATAATTCATTAATAAGAATAGTTCCATATTCTGTCCTTTGGATTTTTGATGCCAGTCAGTTTTATATCAAAGTAAACATAGTTAAAACCAAGATCAGTTACACAATAGTAAGTTGTTACAACAGTTAAATTCAAAAGTCATGATCCTGGTTTGTGTAAATAAATCAATCAAATGTTGATACAATGTATATTATGTATATTATTAGAGATATGTAATTCCGAGCCATGAGATATATATTACTAGTGATAAAGTAATGCATCTCTCACCTTATTTATTATTAATTAAGTAGATCTATATGAAACTTCAAATTATGATTTACAGCCTTAGTAAACTTTGTTTTTGTTTGTGAATTTGACAACACCCCGCCCCCATCCCCCTCACGTGACACCCCTCTTAAACAACGTGTTTTGCCTTTATGATTCTCAATGTCAGCCAATAACCAAACCAGGTCCTTATTGTCATATTCCTATACATAGTATAAATATGTAATACATTATTGTACAGGAGCTTATTTGCCTCCTATCCTAGACCAAGTTTAAAGTTCAGAGGTCTCGCAGCATTTTGACATCATTTTCCCACATACTGTGTGACATGAAAGATTCATTGTCTAGAACCTATTACTATTACAAACCATAAAACAGAATGCAGCAAATCAGATGTCAGATGAAAGTATTATTTTTGTATTATGTAAATTTTTTTTTATCCTTGAAATGATATCTAGCATTTAACCATAAAAGTTCCCACAAACATTTATATGTTATATAGAGTAACTGAAGTGTTTAGCTATTGCAATGAAGTACCACATTTTCTACAATCCACAGGAGAAAGGAAGTTCCCAAACACATATATGAGTGCCAAATTAAAAAAAAAAGTCCCTTCATTGATGATCTGCCTTGTTTTGTAACTTTTATAATAAATTGATCACTTTTCCACCTTTTGTTGGTATTTATGCAGCTCATTCAATTAACAAATAAAAGTCTTTATAAGGGATTAAGGTAAGAACTCTTAATTTGAAAATAGATTCTCCCATATACTATTCAAATGAAGTATGTCTACATATTTAGTCTATATTTAGTCTATATTCCATAAGATTTTGTAAATTGTGGTGACATTCTGATACATGTATTGATCTATCAGATTCTATGATCGTAAGAAAAATAAATATTTTCAGTTTAAGCCAGATATCAAAGGAAATAAATTTTTATTATACTATCAGTGATTTTCATGAAACTTTTTCTTACAAGTTCAGAATTCAGTTTCTAAAATTTTGAAGAGTCTTATTACCAAGAGATAAGTAGGTTCTTAAAATTTGGGCAAGTCCAAACAGAAAAGCATGAGTCCAGGACTCAAAAACCCAGGTCCCAAATATCATTGTATTAGGTTTATATAAACTGTGATTAATTATGCTTAGTCAAAAGAGAGAATTATTCTGTCCAAATACTTCTTAATCATGTTGCATTTTCAAGGAACTTGATGTTAAAAGAATAACATTGATAATAAAACTGAGTTTTTAAAAAAAAGGTTTTAAATTTGGTGGAATGTGGTAAAAAATGCTAAAATTAAAAGACTGATTAAAATTGATTTCAATTTCAGATAATCTGTAAACTAGTCTTTAAGAAATCATTTGGATGTGTCACGCACATAATAGCATATTGTTAGGTCCTGTTGCTGTACTATCAGGTCGCAGACCAACTAAATGTTACATTAAAATCATTACATTTATTGTATGTGGTCCCTTAAATGCAATTTGTGATGTCTTTCTAAGTGTATTTGTAAGGCTTCAATATGTAGTCTTGTTTTAATATTGTTAAGGAAATATATGAAGATCTAAATTAATATGTATGAGTGTGAGAAAAAGAATGAAAATCTAACAACACTTTTGTAAAATAATTTTACAAGTACCTCATTGACAAGAGTTGGTGCAGTTTAAATATGATCAATATCTTTACTCTAGTCTCTTTTCATTTATTGTCTAATCATGCTGTTTGTGCCTTGTGCTGGCCAGGAGTCCTAAGTCAGGTAATCTATGGGCCCTACCTTGGTAGATAGGCAGTGGAATGTATGACAGAGTTGGACCTAATAACGATACTTATATGGATAGCTTAGCGATAGGTTATCTTATAGCACATGATCACACCCTGACCAGGAAATTTATTTAATATTCACCATCAGATAGATATTTCCTACTTGTATTTCAATGAGGTTTATTCATGTACAGAAATAAATGACTGTGGGATCAATATATATAGAAAAATGACACACAGTTAAGCTTAATCCCTGTGTTTGCAATCTCATTTTTTCTATATCTAAACCCCAAAACCATATAAATGTAGAAACAAAATATTAACATGGCAACTAAAATTCACAAATCACAATCATGTTGCCATGGTAATATTTTTGCTTTTATATTGATATATACAGTATGCAAAGCATTTCTCTTATTTGAATAGCTGTGTATATATATAGATATATATATATATATATGCTGTAGAGCATCCTGCAAACCTGCCTCCCTAATGCATGTTCTTTTAAAATGTCATCCAGAGTAATATCGTACAGTATCATGTACATATATATGTGATTCAGTGGCCTTTGGAAAACTCATGCCTAACCGAGTTTCTGGCAGGGAGGTAGTTTAAGCAACCATGAGCAGGGATTAAAAGCGTATATTTAAGTAACCTGGAGTTGTTTGAGAATAAACCTATTAAAACCTCAGGCAGCCATGCTACTGGTATGAGTGTGGAAAGCTAGCAATGTTATAGATCTGCTGACTGTCATTTGTGTTTGTTTAAATGTGATGTGTGCTATGAATTTGTAAATGCAAGGAAGCTTATAATTAATCACGAATTTTCTTGTTGACAGACCACTGTGTGATATATATTTTATTTTTGTTTGTTATTAAGTCCCAGAAAGAACCATTAAGTCTATTTACATATATATATATATATTTCTATTTCACGGAATCAGATGCAGAATGTTAAGATTGGGGTATATTTCTATGTAATTGACAAATATATTTTCGGTACCACAGGCGAAATGTTATGTGTATACCCATGTTGTACTTGTTATTTCATACCATTACAATGATAATATTTTCATTGCATGTTATAACTTTGTATTTGCTTCTTCTAAAGTGAATGAGAAAACTGAAGAAATAGTTTCTAGAAATTTGCTTACAAACATTTATCACTTCAGTACATCCACTGACCTGTACACATACAGCTTTAGCACTCGTCAAAATACAGCATTTGTTTCCCTTTCTTTTGAAAAAAATCAGTAGTGGTCCTATGCAAAAACTACA